TCTCTCTGCTCTCAGGACAAAGGCCCAAGTCCACAGCATGGCTCCTCAGACACTGCCTGGACCCCCCAACCCCACCTTCCCGAGACTTCCTCAGCCATGTGTCCCCCACTTTCTGTTCCAGCTACCCTGGCTCTGACACCCTCCTTCCTGTCCTGCCCATTCACCCCTTCCTTGCTCAGTAATCACCTTCAGGGCTCAGCCCCCAAAGTCATATCATCTGGGAAGCCTTATCTGCCCCTGTAGGTAGGTCAGGACCACACCCTGGCGTTCACCCCAGCACCTCTGCCTCCAGTGGAATGCTTATCTCTGCTGCTTTTACGTTTATTATCTGCGTGACTCTGACTGAAGTCTAGGCTGTGAGGCTCCATGAGGCAAGAACCGTGTAGTTTGCTTATCACTGGGTCCCAGCTGCACTGTCTCCTGGCACCATGCAGAACACACAGTGGGCCTACGGCGAGTGCTCGTCCCACAAATGAGGCATGAGTGGGTGAACGAACAAACGAACGATTGGGACAAGCACAGAAAAGAGAAGTGTTTCCGCTGACATATCAACCTTCTCTTTTGGTCTGTTCTCCCCACGTGCAAAGTAGAGAAAATACTCACTCACTGTCTACCTCAGGGCACACGGCTCCTACAGACTTTGAAACAGAAAACACAAGGGTGAGTCATTTGGAGTTCCTTTAAGAAATTAGAAAAGATGCCACTAACGTCTAGACAGATAACAGCCAATTACTCAAGTGTGGATTGTCTGTGCCAGCGCTGGTTGACTGCAAGGACCCAGACGCCCAGCGATGCGATGATTTCAGGAGGGCGGGAGGCTGGATGAAGAGGCAACAAGCTGAAGAGAACTGAGTCATGGGTTTCTCAATCTCTAAAAAGTCTCAGTGCCACCATGGGGAGCTTCCTAAGGTGTTTAAAATCTGCATATCAGGAAACTGAGATTATTCCTAAAAAGCTAAGATTAATTAAAGCTCTATAACAAAACAAACCTTTGATCCTTTGGCTTAATCTAGTGACTGCCTCTTTGTACCACATTTCCTTCAGCAGTTCCCAGCAGAGGTGCTGGCGAGTGCATCTGGCTTTGATCATCTGGCCTCGGCGGATGAACCAGCCCTGGCCTGCCTCCCTCTCTGCGGCTGCCTCACTCCCACCACCAGGCTGTGCCGAGCTGGCCCGCCCAAGTTCAGGCCTTACTGCCAGGAAGGCTGCTGAGCCGATAGCGCAGGACTCAGGGTACTGCTGCACCGACAGGAAGGTGGACGTAAACTTGCACAGACTGGACCTGATGGAGGGAAGGAGGCCAGTGACCCCTCAGAGATGAACAAGCAGGGAGCTGGACTCCTGTGGTCTGTCCTCCTCTGGACTCCGTCCCTCCAGCCTGAAGCTGGAGGCCCCATCCCCGGAGGGCAGGCAGCAAGCTGCTTTAACGCCTCCCTTGCTGCAGGGAGCCTGGCAGCGAACGCTGGCCCCCACCTCCCCCAGGGCTGAAGCACTTTCTGCATCCTTGTAACCGGGGCTTGACACAGGTGTGACCCTGCGGGCCTTCCGGCCAGGCCCCCACACAGGGAAACAGCCCCTCACTGGAACAGACGGGTCAGTGTAAACACAAGCCCGGCTTTATTTTTTAATTACATAAGTTTAATTTATACAAGTAGCAGGTGAACATATTCTCCTCTTAAAAAAAAAACAGAAAGAAAAACATTGCCAGTAAGACTAAAGTCTCCTTTTACAACTCTTAACTGCCTGCCAAGCAGGAGACTGGGTTCGATCCCTGGACTGGAAAGATCCCTCAAGAAATGGCAACCCACTCGTGTTCTTGCCTGGGCAATACCATCAACAGAGGGGCCTGGGGGCTATAGTCCACGGAGTCGCCAAGAGTCGGACATGACTTAGTGGCCAAATAACAACAACAAGAAGTCCTTTATCTTCCCCTGAGGAAAGCACTGCTAGATGGGCACCCTTCCAGACTTTGTTTACATATACACTCTTACACACACGCGCGCGCACACACACACACACTCCAGAGAAGTGCCCAGTGACTGGGTATTGATTCTTACTTGGCAGTACCGTGCACTTACACTGCTTTGTACCACACCTTAAAAGTTTATCCCTGTTTTTATACCTATACAGCAAGCTCATAGAACAGGATGAACCCCTGACCCCTACCCTACACTGAATGCATGCTCAGTCACTTCAGTCGTGTCTGACTCTTTGTGACCCTATGGACTGTAGCCCACCAGGCTCCTCTGTCCATGGGATTCTCCAGGCAGGAATACTGGAGTGGGTTGCCGTGCCCTCCTCCAGGGGATCTTCCCCACCCAGGGGTTGAACTGTGACTCTTAAGTCTCCTGCATTGGCAGGTGCGTTCTTTATCACTAGCGCCCACCCCCGACGGCACCTCTGGTTGATGTTCATGTTGTTTTCAATGTTTTGCTTGCATGTTTTCTCATGAGCATTTCTGCATGAAGCTCCTTGTACACACTATTTCTCTGGGGCACTGGCTGGAAGACAAGTTGTTACATTGTAGGCCTCTACTTTTCTGTCTCCCTCAGTCAGTTCAGTTCAGTTGCTCAGTCCTGTCCGACTCTTTGCGACCCCATGAATCGCAGCACGCCAGGCCTCCCTGTCCATCACCAACTCCCGAAGTTTACTCAAACTCATGTCCATCGAGTCAGTGATGCCATCCAGCCATCTCATCCTCTGTCGTCCCCTTCTCCTCCTGCCCCCAATCCCTCCCGGCATCAGGGTCTTTCCCAATGAGTCAACTCTTCACATGAGGTGGCCAGAGTATCGGAGTTCAGCTTCAGCATCAGTCCTTCCAATGAACACCCAGGACTGATCTCCTTTAGGATGGACTGGTTGGATCTCCCTGCCTGTCTCCCTAGGTAGTCCCATTTGTTTCCCCAAGAATATGCACCAATGTAACTTCCACCTCACAACAACCATATAGCAGGATGTCCATTTCTGTATGTTGGTGGCAAGGCATAGAACCAAATGTCTTCATTTCTCTCCTATCCAATGGGTCTTTTTTCTAACTATCAGTGAAATTGAACATCTATTTATCAGTTTCAGTGAAACTGAACATCTGCATTTCCGCCTTGTAATTGTCTATTCATAATCTTTTAGCTGATTCTTCTATGGTATTGCTCCGTTCTCCAGGGGATCTTCCTGACCCAGGGATCAAACCTGAAATTGCAGGCAGATTCTTTACCATCTGAACCACCAGGGAAGCCCCTCAATGATTTAGTAGAGTTCTCTGTATATTCAGAATGTCTTAATTCTTACATACAGTGGGGAGAAGGTTTTGAATAACATGACAAGCCCTTTATCGATGGCATAAAGGGAACAATGCTTTTCAACATGAACAAAATGTCTCCTAACATGTCAAAACCACTGCACTAGCAGATGAGCTGCCTGGTAATGGTGAGGATAAAGCTATGTTCTAAGAGGCCACCCTCCAAGTCATAAACCATGGCTGCTACGAGCTCAGCACAAAATGGAACAGGGAGAAATTTCCACTTTGGGCCAGAACAGAATAACTGGTGCGAGACTAGCTCTCCTTCCATAAACAACTATTAAAATGGGTCAAATATACAAGACAACTATTTTCTGGCAGGAGACAAGAGATCGCCTAAAACTACATTTCTCTCAAATGGAAGCTCCCTCAGGGTACCTTTTGGAAGAGACACACGCCCATGAGTAGGCGAAACGAAGAGCCCACCACACACATGACCCACACACAGCACTCCCTTCCCCTACCCCCACACACTTCTACTCCCCGTTTCTTAGGCTCATTATATTTAAGGTCTATGTTAACAAGTCTGAAGAGTATATGCTCCTCTCTGGAAGACAAGCTAAAAACATACAACTAATCCAGAGAGGAAAACTAATAAAAAAAACAATCCTTTCTAGTGTAAAATGTGTATCATTAATTTAGTTTGTTACAGCGGTTGGAGTCATATATTTTCATTAAAAAGTAAAGAATTTAAGTGAGGTATATGGGCTTCAAAAAATGAAGTGTCTCATTATTTCCACAGTTATGAGAAGAAGCCCACCTTCCAAATTTAATAATCATGAAAAAGCATGAAGAAGTTCTAGAAACTTCTATACTTCATCCACATTCTGAAAATAAGGAAACAAGATTCTCTGGGGTACACTGAGGTTCATGGACTTGCCCAAGTCCCACTCATAAAACCACACCGCTGGTTTTCAAATTGTGCCCCCTAGAAGCACCACAGGAGTCCCTGCGGTGGGGAGTGGGCAGGACAGAGGAGCAGATCCACATGGGGCCACAGTGAGCAGGTGGGCTCCAGGGGATTCTGTAAAAGCTTTCATTTGGAAAAGGGATTCTGATGCTTAAAAATAAACATGAAAATCACTGTCTTCACTGTAGTGCCTCTTAAGAGAAGTTTAAATATTTTAAGTACAATCATCTCTAAGATGCAGGGAATTTTTTAAATGTCAGCCAAAAAAAAATGTTTCTTTCAAGTTATCTCATACAGTTAGCAAGGAGAGGGAAGGAGAGTGATACTCAGGTCTCCTGCTTTCTGGAGCAACGCCTGCCCCAGGCTGCCCACACGGATGCCCCAGGTTGCTGCCGCTGCCTTTTAGTCGCTCAGTCATGTCCAGCTCTTTGCAAACCCATGGACTGTAGCCCATCAGGCTCCTCCATTCATGGGATTCTCCAGACGAGAATACTCGAAGTGGGGTGGCCATGTCCTCCTCTTGGGGATCTTCCTGACCCAGGGATCGAACCTGTGTCTCCTGCTTGGCAAGCAGATTCTTTACCACTGAGCCACCTGTGAAGTCCCTGCCCTAGGTCACTGCCACTCTTAAATAACTGCATAAACACGACTGTACAAACCCATTACCTGTTTCCAGTACATGGGCTCCAGGCAGGACCAGTGTCGCTATTCAATACTGTCTAAATAGAGGGTACAATGAAATCTCCTTTTCGGTTCAGTGTTATACAACATAGAGATGTGATGATACTCACAAGAAGACCTGAAACATCAGAATACTTCTTAGCTGGTTTAAAGGATGGAGGAGCATCAATACTGAAATCTGGGAAAAAAACAAAAAAAGAAGCTAACTAAACTGGCTTTAAAGCTTTCAGATCCCTTCCCCTTTTCCTCTAAAAATATTGCTTGATAATATTCCCAAACTTTCTATTTTGTGATTAAGTGTTCAGAGAATTCTCTGGGGAAATAATACAGGATGCCATAAGCCAACCACAGGCTTCAAGTACAGCTTTGCCTTGTTCCCGGGGACCCTCCACTTCAGCAGAACCACCAGAAAGCTCAACTGCCCACCAGCTGCTTTCACGGTTTCTGGCTACATGGGCTGATGGTGATGAGGTGTCAAACAACCCACTAATTGGATCCGAGCATCCGGACACCGGAATGTCCACACCCAGGCATCTGACAAGCTCATTTGTCATCAGTCTGAGTCACCCCCACAAAAGACATGCCGTGGGGCAGGAGATGGAAGGAACTTTGAACCTGTACTTTCCACTAAAGTTGAGCAGAACGTACAACAGACATTCGGAAATACTGTAGTATAAAGTGTTCACTCTGAAAAACACTGGCTCGGAGAGTAAAACAGAGCAGGCCTTTAAGCTGGTGGTGAGAAATTCTCCTAAAGCTTGGGCAACCTTTTACTTGGAAACACATTTTAAGAGTAGACTTTTGAATAAGCAGTTTGTCTAACAGCAACACCCATATAATCATATCTGGACCTGCTTCTCCAGATTGAAATGTTAACAGTGATATTAAAAAGCACACATCCATGACAATGCCAACACACACAGATTCAACAGAGAGTACAAAACTATGAGGAAATAACACACATAACCTCCCTATATTGATACCACTGTAAAACTCCTAAGCTAGAAAGTGTTTCTCCATGAACGCAAACACAATAAGATAACGTGCGTTTGTTATAAGAAGGTTCCTAGTCTGAACATCATGAGCACATAGGAGGGTCTAGACAGCTCACAGTTGGGATCATTCAGTTGCCATGGCAATGCCCTTTCAGAAGCCAGGATCTGTTTCAGGTTCTTCCAGGTTCTGTTCTTCTTGCCAGCCACTGCACCACCATGGCCCGAATGCTCGAGGCGCAAGCGTGGATTAGAAGAAACAAAAATCAATGGAGACAATCATTTCAAAATCTGACATTTATGCTTATTCATAACTATAATAAACCATGTATTACACCATATACCTTAATCTTACTTATAAAAAAACACAGTCTTAGGATTTTTAAAATGCATGAGTTAGCCGCTGATGGAATAGAAATAAAGGGTTATTCTTTTAATATGCACATAGAAAATCACATCCTTTATTGGGTCTAACTTTATGGAATTCACTCGTGAATTTCTCACTACTTTAAAACAAGTTTACTACAAAGTTAGATTTAAACACATGACCACATCTCTCAATTCCTTTCTGAGGGCCAGTCTCCACCTTGTAAATTACTGGAGCTCCAGGAAAACCCAAGGAAGCCTCCCTCATGACATGGCAAGCCTTCCGGAAATTTTTTCTTTTTTGTCTTGTGAAGATGACAAAATGAAATGGAAAGAACACAAAAGTTACAGGCACTATTAATGCTGTATTTTCAAAGGTAATTAGTGAAAAATAAATTGTAATGGTATGATCAGAATAATGTAATTTATCCTACCCCTCCAGAACAGAAGGCAGAGGCACCTATATCTACTTGATAGCACAAAGCCCGAGATGTGCTTAAAGAAACTAAACAGGAGCATTCCTCCTTTAGTTAATCACTGCACGCCTCATCTAAATCTCATGAAAAAAGGAAGGAGAGCAATCACCCTGGAAAAACACCCTAAAAACAGCACCACTGAATGAATTCCACAAAATCCTTGGGAACTGGGGGAGCCACAGGAAGGGCTCTCCTGGCCCCAGACCTCAAACCACAGTCCCCTGCAGAGGGCGTGGTGACGCGGCCTGAAGAACAGCCCCGAGCGCTGCTGGGCTGCAGACCGACCGAGTGAGTGCGATCACAGGCCGAGGCACGGTTGCTTGGTTTTTTATTTACAAAACACCTTAGATGCTTCTGGGACTCCCTGGGGCTCTGAGCATAATCAACCCACCTGACGGTGCAGGAGACTCGGGTTCAATCCCTGGGTCGGGGGGGGGGGAGGGGGAACCCTGGAGAAGGGAATGGCAACCCACTCCAGTATTCTTGCCTGGAGGACTCCACGGACAGAGGAGCCCGGTGGGCTATAATCCATGGGGTCGCAGAGAGTTGGACACGACTGATCAAGGAACACTTTCACTTTAGATGCTTACCACAAAGTTGGGATCCTTAAATGGCAGAGGTTTGGCAGCTTTCTCCATGGGTCCTGTGCTAAAATCAGAGGGCACCATCTTATTCTCACTCACACCGTCCATGCTGATACCCTTCAAACAAAATAAGAATAATATGAGGTCAGTGTCCTTTAGCTGAGTTGCCTAACTCAGCTCTCAACAAGATGTAAGATGACAGCACCAGACATACGACAGGAGACAGGATGCCCGGAACCCCAGCGGGTGGTCTGCATGGGGTGGGGTTGGGGGGAGAACCTGCCAGGCTAGGAGCCGCGCCTGTCCGTGCAGAGGCCACAGTGGAGGCACCCGGGACCCTAGCTGCCAGACTTCCTGGCTCCTCTGTGTGCCAAGCACAGGAGTCCTACTACTATGAGGTGAAAACTGAGACTCAGGCGGACAGATTCAAGGCCGCACAGTGATCGCCTCTGGATTCAAATCCAGTTGGAGCGAATGCCAAGGCCCCATCATCCCTGTGATACCACGTGTGGCCCCTATTCCTACTGATCTTATTAAATTGTGTCTTGAAACATTAAGACCGGAAAGATCCAGCCCCTTGAAGGGTCTCCAACTGGAGAACCCAGGCTGGTGCTGGTACGCTTCAGGGCACAATAGAATGCGGGCATTCTGAGTGAGGAGAATAGGAGAGGAGGCAGGGGGCCTCGGGTCAGCTGGCTGCGGCAGAGTGCCCTGACAAGCAGGCTCCCGGACTTTAAAACAAAAAGCCTTTTTAAGCTAAGAATCAAGAAGAGAGAAAACAAGTCAAAGCAACAGATCACTGCTGATTTGTATTGCAATTTCCAATCTTCCCAGACTGCAATAAACTGTTTTTTAATAGATACATAATTTATATACAGTGAGACGCACAGATCTTAAGTGTAGGTTTCATGAGTCTTGCCAAATGTTTCCATTTGTGTAACCCAGGCCCCTGTGGAGACAGTCTATTTACATCTTTCTCAGAAAGTTCCCTCAGGCCCTCTCCTGGTCAGTATCTTCCGCTCTCATGGTCCACCACTGTTTTGAATCCCACGTTACTTTGGCCTGTTCTAGAACTTTATGAGTGGAATCCAACATCTTGTGCTGTTTGCTGTGTTTGGCTTCTTTAGCCCGGCATAAAGTTTTTGAGGTTTATCCACGTCACAACATAGACTGGTGGTTTGTTTCGCAGAATTTGTATATCACTCATAAGAATAGTATTCCCCTGCTATGGATGTACCATAGTATGTTTACCCGTTTTCTTGCTGACGAAATGTGGGTCTCTATCAGCCTTCAGCTATTATAAATAAAGCTGCTGTCAACATTCTGTACAGGCCTCTGCATGGATGTATGTCTATTTCTCCTGGGGAAACACCTACACGTGGGATGGTCAGGTTATACACTAAGTACGTGTTTGACTTTATAAGAAACTGACCAGTCATGCGTGTGTAGTCGCTCAGTCCTACCCCGTTCTCTGTGACCCTTTGGACTGTAACCCGCCAGCCTCCTCTGTCCACTGGATTTTCAGGTGAGAATACTGGAGTCAGTGGCCATTTTCCTCCTCCAGGGGATCTTCCCAACCCAGGGACAAGAAACTGGCACACCACTTTCCCAAACGGGCTGCCCTCTTTCACACTCCTAGCAGCAGCGTAGGAGAGTTGTGGTTGTAAGTACAGATCCCACCCCTCTGGCCCCCTAAAATGGCCTCCCCGTGGGGGAAGGAGGGTGGGGGAGACAGGGGCCACTCACTCTGTTCCAACAGTCCCGTGAAGGGCTCCTCCTCAGACACTTCCCAGACTCCTCTCCAGGGTCTGCCCTCCCCCCGACCCCGGGCCTGTGCACCCTCCTCTCGGCTCACCACCCCCCTGCTATCCGGACGGCCCCTCCCCTCATCCGTCCCCCCATTCACAGCTTTTCCTAACTTTTCTCCCCTCCAAGGTCTGCTCGGATGTCCACTCTCTAAGAACTAAGATCCCTCCAATTCCTCATCCTTTCCCCCCCATTTGTAGCCATAGTTCTCTCTCTTTCTTCTCCTTTCCACCCCTCCCTCCCACGGTCCTTCCTTTACCTGGCCCTTCCCTAGCTCTGGGGTTCACAGGAAGCCTGAGGCCCACTCCGTTCTCTGCAGCACACTCAGCGACTCACTGATAGATATAAGTTTGATGTCTGTCCCCTGTTGACAGCTGCCCAGGGCTTCCCACCACCCTTGGGATCAGGCACAAATGCTGGCCTCCTCTCCAGCCTCCCCTCTCACTCCCCCTCCCTCCTGTATTTTGTATTTTCTGGTCCCCAAACCCATGGAGTCATTTTCTGCCAGCATACATAGTCTTCAGTGTTTTCTATTTTTTATTTATGCCTCATAAAAATTTCCGTAGGGATTAGCTCATGTCAGTTTTAATTTTACAAGAAAGATTAGATCTAGCATTTTGTATGTAACTAACTTCTATTACCCTTGTGATTTTTCCTTCATGGTCCTAAAATTTCTGCGGGTATTAATATATGTGTCCTGGGGGACCCAATTTGATGGAGCTTTGATTTTTTCCCATCACATTTAATCAGTAACCAACATTACCTTGTGTAGTTTTGGCCAGTTGTCAATGCTATTTTGTGTTGATTATTTATAAGAGTAATATCATAAATTAGATACATAATTAACATCTGTATTTAAGTCTTGGTTAGTCAATGAAGGGCTTCCCAGGTGGTGCGAGTGGTAAAGAACCTATCTGCCAACGCAGAAGACATAAGAGACCTGGGTTGGGAAGATCCCTTGGAGTAGGAAATGGCAACCCACTCCAATATTCTTGCCTGGAGAATCCCATGGACAGAGGAGCCTGGTGGGCTACGGTCCACGGGGTTGCAAAGAGTCAGACACGACTGAAGCATCTTAGCATGCAAGTAGTCACTGGAACGATAGCAGCTTTGTGAAACAGGCAGGGAACGACAGACAGGAACAAGGAGACACAGAGGAGACAGGTGAACAGATGAGGAGATGGGCAGATTCGAGAGAAGGCGCGGACCTGGACATCCGGCTTCACCATCTGGCCCAGTCTTCCATGCCTGCGTCTAACCCAGCACCTAGCACAGAGAAGCACCAAAGAATCACTAGCTGATTGACTGGCGCTAAGGAAGAAGACAACGCCGCATAACTCTGTCAGCATCCGTTTTTGAGATGTCCATGTTCAGGGGTCTGTCGTAAGGAAGCGCCTCTGGATGGGAAGCAGCAGCCAGACCCAAAGAAACACAGGAAGGCTAATTCAGAAATGACTGGGTTTGGTTAGCTGTGGGTGCAAGGGAACAGGGTGGAAGAAAGAGAAGAGAAAACCTCCAAGTATAGCTGTCTGTAGCTTTGACCTTTTGAGCCATGTTAAAGTTTCACATAGAAATAGACGGACAAATCCAACAAGCATGGGGCAGCAGACAGAAAAAATGGAATGCAAACAAGAAACCAAATCAACCTGAGGTTTGAATGAATAACACAGACACACTAAAAGGGATGAAGGGCGAAATAACATTAGTGATATGAACACAGTATTCCGAACATATAACTCAAGGTTAGAGGCAAAAAGAACCATGAACAATTGGGAGGTTTGTTTCTCCCAAGAGTACAGGTTAATAGTTCGGAACTACTTAATATGCATTCTAAGACAAGGCAAATAAGGAATGAGGGACAGCTAGAATGAACCGCGTGCTACTGAACTGAAATCACAGGTTAGCAATATGAATTCATGGGTTTAACATATACACAGAAAGATAAACATGGAAATGGGGACTTCCCTGGTGGTCCAGTGGTTTAGAATCCACCTTCCAATGCAGGAGACTTGAGTTTGATCCCTGGTCAGGGAACTAAGGTCCTGCATTCCACAGAGTGACTAAGCCCACACGCCACGACTAGAGTCCGAGAGCTGCGACTACTGAAACCTGCGTGCTCTAGGGCCCATGCTCTGCAACAAGAGAAGCCTGCACATCACCACTAGAGAAAGTCCACATGCTGACATGAAGACCCAGGAGAGCCAAATTAAAAAAAATAATAATAATAATAAAAAGAAATGGATACAGAGGCATGGGGGACAGTCATACACACACTCACACACATGATCCCCTACATTTCCTAATTTCTTCCATGCAGACAGCTAGAAACAATGAACATGTCAACCACAAACTGGTGCTTGCCAAGGGCATTTGCCATCTGCCTCTGCGGAGGACTGAGTCCCGTGCTGCTGCGGCTGCACATGCCCTGAAGGGAGCTCAGGGTGGAGAACAATGAGGCCCTCTGTGCTCCAGGAAGACTGGTGGACAGCTCCTTAGATACATATTTTCCGGAGCTGATTTCATGGTCCCAATCCTTGCACCTCCTCCAATCTAGAAAAGCACTAAATCCCTTCATGGTGACATCAGCTCCTCCTGACTAGCGAAAACCTTTGATTGCATGGAACTCCTCTTCACCAAAATCTTGTTTATTGACCTTCCCCCACTACCTCTCTGGAGCAGTTTCTCAGAGCTATTTGAGGTGCCGTCTCCTGGGCTGCGGTCCTCCTTTTGCCCCAAATAAAACTTAACTCACAACACTCACATTGTGCATCTTCTCTGAGTCAACAAACAGCAGGCACACCAGTGCTCAGATCCTGGTTTCCAAATATTGTTCTCCAAGAACAAGCGATCTTCGAGGAAACGGCTGATTCCAGGACTGAGGCAAGAAAGTACAGCATGAGTTTTTGGTGCCAGAAGGTAAGAAATCACTTGTATCAGTTTGCTAGGGCTGTGTAACAAAATGTTAATACCACAGACTGGGTGGTTTAAATAAGAGAAATTTAGTTTCTTAAGGTTCTAGAGTGGTGGGCTGCAGTCCATGGGGTCGCAAAGAGTGGGGCATGACTGAGTGACTAACACATACACACAAGGTTCTAGAGACCAGAAGCTCAAGATCAAGATGTGCGCAGGGCTGGGTTTTCCTGAGACCCATCTCTTTGATTTGCAGATGACTGTCTTCTGACTGTGTCCTCTTTCCTCTGTATACACGCCCTCTTCTTATGAGGACACCAGGCAAATCGGATTAGGGCTCCACCCTTATGACCTCATTTAACCTTAACTACTTCCTTAATGGCCCTATTTCTAAATACAGT